GTTTTGGCTGCTTTATTTTTTACTAACCACCAGATGGCACTGTTTTCGACACTCTCGAAGCTTTGAGTCTTTCAGTCAGAGGAAACCCTTAGTGCTTCACGAGGCTTAATTTGCCCATCACTAGTCCATATAGCGTTTTTAACTACTTAGATCAGGGCTGTCCAAACTCGGTCCTGGAGGGCCGGTGTCCTGCAGAGTTTAGCTCCAACCCTAATTAACCCTTTAGGCGCCAGGGATTTTTGGGAAAATGCTGGATTTTGACATCAAGATTTCAAAAGCTTGAAAGGGCTTAAAGATAGAGATCTACTGTAAATTAGAAAAATGTTGGGCATGAACGAAAGTTTATGTGGGGTGTAAAATTACTCGTCTAATTTGTATATTATGACGTCATTAGGGGGCGGACATCTTGAATTTCATAATATTCAGGAAATAGTAGATATTTGAAATGTGAAATGTGAAATGATCACTTGTTTGTGCTTCGTGAACACTCTCGCCTTGCACGGTGGCATATAAGTTAGAAATTAGAATCACACTATAGTAATTGCCCAAATTGCGCTGCAAAGATGTGCCGGGAGAAGCGCAATTATTAGACGACCTATCATCATTTCTAAAAGGCAAATATTCCCCTTCAGAGTCAGAATCGGCGAAATAACATTTGCAACACATCCTCACGGTACAACTTTCTATTAGCCATTTGGTGATTTTCTCTCACAAATCTCACAATTTACTCGCACGCTATGAACTGAACTGCTTCCGCATCAATGACACAATAGCTCACTTGCTCTGCACTTTGAATAGGAACGTGACGTAATTTTGGTCTAGAATCGAAGTACTACATGTCTGCCATCTAGTGGTAGGGAATACAAATTAGATATTACACCATATTAGGAATTACAGTCTATTTTATTAAGTATGACGTGTTGTCGCAATAATGGGTAAATTAATTTATCAGAGACAGAAATTCAACTAACACAAACAGAGTGTTTGGCTTTTATTTGTGCACGTAACTTGAATCGATCTATGGAATGTGTGGTGGATGCTTCGTCCTATGGAGCGTCTTTCACAGGGTTTTGGCTGCTTTATTTTTTACTAACCACCAGATGGCACTGTTTTCGACACTCTCGAAGCTTTGAGTCTTTCAGTCAGAGGAAACCCTTAGTGCTTCACGAGGCTTAATTTGCCCATCACTAGTCCATATAGCGTTTTTAACTACTTAGATCAGGGCTGTCCAAACTCGGTCCTGGAGGGCCGGTGTCCTGCAGAGTTTAGCTCCAACCCTAATTAACCCTTTAGGCGCCAGGGATTTTTGGGAAAATGCTGGATTTTGACATCAAGATTTCAAAAGCTTGAAAGGGCTTAAAGATAGAGATCTACTGTAAATTAGAAAAATGTTGGGCATGAACGAAAGTTTATGTGGGGTGTAAAATTACTCGTCTAATTTGTATATTATGACGTCATTAGGGGGCGGACATCTTGAATTTCATAATATTCAGGAAATAGTAGATATTTGAAATGTGAAATGTGAAATGATCACTTGTTTGTGCTTCGTGAACACTCTCGCCTTGCACGGTGGCATATAAGTTAGAAATTAGAATCACACTATAGTAATTGCCCAAATTGCGCTGCAAAGATGTGCCGGGAGAAGCGCAATTATTAGACGACCTATCATCATTTCTAAAAGGCAAATATTCCCCTTCAGAGTCAGAATCGGCGAAATAACATTTGCAACACATCCTCACGGTACAACTTTCTATTAGCCATTTGGTGATTTTCTCTCACAAATCTCACAATTTACTCGCACGCTATGAACTGAACTGCTTCCGCATCAATGACACAATAGCTCACTTGCTCTGCACTTTGAATAGGAACGTGACGTAATTTTGGTCTAGAATCGAAGTACTACATGTCTGCCATCTAGTGGTAGGGAATACAAATTAGATATTACACCATATTAGGAACTACAGTCTATTTTATTAAGTATGACGTGTTGTCGCAATTTTGCGACTTTGGCGCTTAGAGGGTTAAACACACCTGAACCAGCTAATCAAGCTCTTACGAGGCATAGAAACTTCCAGTCAGGTGTGTTGAGGCAAGTTGGAGCTGAACTCTGCAGGACACCGGCCCTCCAGGACCGAGTTTGGACAGCCCTGACTTAAATGGTTCAAATTGCACTTTCTTAAAACTAGATGCGCAAGATATTGCTGATGAAAGACTCACCGCTATATAAGAGTAAAGCACACTTACCTCCCAACTCTAATGTCAATGTCGTTCACTAGAAACATGCCTCATATCCCGATGCTCTGGGTGATTAGCCTTTTTCACAAAAATCGGAAATTACGTCAGTGCAGGGTAAAGTTAGTTCCATTACAGGTCTGCGCCTATTGTATTAGCATGCCTTTTTCTCAAATAATGCTTCTTACCTTTTCTGTTTTGTCTGTTTTCCAAGTTGTTGTTATATAATCTACAAAGAAATAACATTGTACTTGTTAGTAACTTATATGGCCACTCAGACCGCTGAATCGTGAGATAATGCGCTCAATATAGCGCTGGTTGGTTTCTATTCTCCAATTCCGACATCCCTTTTTATATAGTCTTTGATCTCCAGTACATTTGAGCGTATTATCTCAATTTACTCAGTCATTTCCCTCGAATCACCACATGGTAAATTACTTAAAAATGACAACATTTACAGGTACATCTCAAAAAATTAGAATATCATGAAAAAGGTCAATATTTTTTGTCACTCATTTCAGAAAGTGAAACCCATATATTATATAGATTTATTACACATAGAGTGAAATATTTCAAGCCTTTATTTCTTGAGAGTTTGATGATTATGGCTTACAGATAATGAAAACCCAGAATTCAGTGTCTCAGAAAATGTTAATATTGTGAAAAAGTTGACGCTGTGTGTTTCATTGTGAAAGTGAAACTACTTTGTTTGGCCTTCCAAAAGATGACGATATCCGCTTCGTCATGATCTGATCCGTGCTGGTCGCTGAGGAAATACATCAACTTTGCGCTGTGGATTGCCAAATCGGCTTTCACCGTGGATGAAGCGGAGGCCAACGACTAGAAATCAGTTGTTAAGTTGTATTTACAACACTGTTCCAGAACAGTTCAACCCAGATATTCAGATGTGTGCAGCGCATTTTATGGAGGACTGTTTCCTGATCCTGGAAGAGTAGACTACAATGCCGGCTGTTCTGCCTCACAGACTGTAAGTACATTTTCATTTAAAGTGTAGAGTAGCGCTTGTTGTTTGTCGTTTCTCCGATCACAAATGCAGACATAGTGTTATGTTTACGCTGCGTGGCGCGATGCAACACAATGCGTAAAAACACAGTATAAGTCATTATAATCCGTAATTATGTCCCCGCTGGATGCAACAAATGCCTCGTTTATAATGGGTTTTAATGTTTTTGTCTCGTCGCTCCGGCCGGGACACGGCATCACAGTATGGTAAGGGGCATAACATTTCCATCATGAGCTTTGTAAAAAATCGACGCATTTCAGAAAGGCGGGGCTTAGAGGAGAAACAATAATGTACAGTATGTGGAAAATAATGTGTTTTTTTAACCTTAATTAAACCGCATAAACACATTTCATTACACCAAATACACAAAATAATGTTCTTTTTAGCAACATCATATGACCCCTTTAATATTTATTTCCCAGGGCACATTATACAACGTACATTTAAACCATCACGTTAATAATGCAAAGGAGAGCAAGTAGAACATACAATACTACTATAATAATAATAATTAGTGGAAAAATATTCACATGGAGAGTCCTAATGCAGCGCCAGCACCAAACGGAAAGAACGGCAAAACTAACTGAATTATAACTGCCACCATTTAGATTTAAACAAACTTGTATTTGATGGCCCGAGCTGACGCAAAAAGTTAATTGTGAAATGTTTGCGCTTTGCAGAGTAAAGTACCGGCAGTTCAAGCATTTTCACAATCTCTAATTTGTATAAAAAGACTTTGATTCTCGAACTCATTCTTGTTAAGTACGGCCGCAATTGTCACCGGAAAAACTTTTACCCTGCAAGCACCAATCCGGAAGCCAGAAACATGGAAGTGTGAAAAAGGCTAATTGCATCACGCCGTGTGTGTGGCACAGTCGGGCAGCCACATGCACACTGCCCCCTAGAGTATTGGAGAGTTTAGATTTTAATTTTAATTTATTTAAATATGACATTATCTAATTTAATTAAAAGTACATCATGAATCAATAACTTATTTAAATTATATTATTCAATGAATATTCTAATCTTTTTCATCAATTGCTTCCTGGGGAAGTTTTTCCAGTGACAAGTATAGGGATTCCACACTGAAAAATGATTCGTAACGTGTTAAAACCAAGTTGTTTATTCAGATTAAAACATTGTCACACCGCAGAAACACACATCTTCGGTTTTTGACATCACATAATTTGTAGAAATTCATTCCAGTCGGAATAGCTCATATACCTTTTTCAAGAATCATATCATTGTTGATTTTAACCTCATATATATCTATTATTTAATTCATGATAAATAACCTGAAAAGCCTTATCTTATTGAAGCCTGTATAATTATTGTCATCATTCCAAATCCAACCAACAAACCACTTAATACAAGCAAAAAGCTTATACACACAGCTGCAGTTATAGATTTTCAGAAACACATATTATATAACATTGTGTCACCCGATACATTTTCCATTCCAGACATACATAATAATCTCCATATAGTATTCACCATATATGCAATAATTAGTTTCTTGAGCATAATATCCTGCTGCAGTGCTGAGCTGCAAAGGCAGGATCTTTCACCCATACATTTAACCTACATTTCCACTACATTTATAATGGCCATTATATTTCCTCTGGTTGTATAACCCTATCCATATTGTTTAAAAAAATTGTTTATCATGGTCTATAGGCACACACTGTGTATCTTTGTAGAATGTGCTATTTTCAGAAACACATATTATATAACATTGTGTCACCCGATACATTTTCCATTCCAGACATACATAATAATCTCCATATAGTATTCGCCATATATGCAATAATTAGTTTCTTGAGCATAATATCCTGCTGCAGTGCTGAGCTGCAAAGGCAGGATCTTTCACCCATACATTTAACCTACATTTCCACTACATTTATAATGGCCATTATATTTCCTCTGGTTGTATAACCCTATCCATATTGTTTCAAAAAATTGTTTATCATGGTCTATAGGCACACACTGTGTATCTTTGTAGAAGTTCAGATGTGCTGTTGCTTTGTTAATTGCATTCATAAAGGCAAGTTGGTTGATCTTAATAGCAGCTTCATAATAAATAGTGCAACCACAACTGTTGTCCTGATTGTGATCCATCTCATCATGCCTCTTAATCACCTGATTTCTTTAAAGGAGTGCCTGTGATTGAATTCCTCCTGTTGAGCCCATATTTAAAGATGACATCATGTAAGTCATTATTAATACAATAAATGGTTTTCCAAGCTCTTGACCTGTCAGTTTAAAACTCACAATTATGATGCCACAGCATTACAGCAGCATGAATATCAAAACATATATGGCATTTGCACTCCAGCATCAGGTTAGACATGAAACGAGTTGGAAGGTTTGTGTGCTAATGTGTTCATTTTCTGTCTGTATCTCCATGTCAGTCTGTCTTTCTAGTTTCTACTTCCATCTCAGTTCCTGCTTTTCTCAACCAGGCCGATCGAAGTACTTTGAGACATCCGCAGATGATTCTGCGCATCCACATTATGTTCATGACATCCAAAGACACGCTGGAAATAACCCAGGCACTGCGGCCCCCCAGCGGTAACCGGTAGAAGTCATCCGTACCAAAGACTAAGTACATATGGCTGTAGTAGCCTGGAATGACTGCGATCCTCACCAAGAAGAATGTAAAAGTCATGGCGACACCATTAACCAGACTCGGTTTGGAAAGTTTGTGGTAGCCCAACATGTGAAAAAACCAACTGAAAGACATCAAAAATAATGCAATTAGAAAATGAGCTCCTGTAACAGTCTCATTGCATGCTTTTAGGTGGATTTTTAGGTCATAATTACCGCTGGTTCACGAAGGGAGTGGAGAATTCTGAAAGCAGGCGGAAATTAGCAAAGTAAGGCAATATTCCTTGACTCTGCAGGAAAAAAAAAGCACAAAATGACCTTGGAAATCTTGAGGAAGTAATAGTACACCAGACCCGCTGAAGACAACTAACCAGCACATAGTAGTATGCATAGAGAGCAGCAAAATGATGTATGACAAAATATTTCTCTCCAATTGACTCCCATGAAGTAAACATGAGCAGGAGATCTGAAAAAAAAGAAACAGATAATATTCTGATGGTAACCATCAAGTTAAAAGCAAAAACATATGTTCCTTACTAAATACATTAATGTGCACATCAAGCAAATAAATAAATAGATTTTTAAACAGCGATGAAGCAGTTTTGTTAAAATATTGTTCTTCAAAGAAATAATAATAAACGATTATGCTGAAAAATAAATAAAAAAATTAAAATGAGTTTTAATTCAGAAATGAAAAAAGTTAATCCTAGAAGAAATGTATTCAAATCATTAAGTGTATAAACTTAATTTTTAGTTTTTTTGTATTTAAGTACAAATGAATAGATATAGCATCACATTATTAAGCCTCCATCCACCTGATATAAGATAGCCTGAGGTAATGGCCACATTTAGCTTCACCAGTGTGGCATCTCCCCTGTAATCACAAATTAGAGGTTAGATAAGATAAATAATGTTTGTGAGACCACCAAAAACATCTGATTCAGATTATACTTTCAGGACAGAAACCACACTATGTTGCATAAGTTGTGCCAACACATTTGTAATGGACTGCATCTTCAAATCCTCACCAGACTGGGTCTTTCTGGATAGGTTCATCAAATATATATATGTAGAGACAGAAAAGTCCCACAACCAAGGCGTGTACCGTTGAGACGGCCCTTTGAGAGAGAGAAAAAAATAGAAAGAGTTTATAGATATTCCAATTTTAGTTAAGAGTGCATAATAAAACATGCTTTTAGAAGATAAATCTGACACCTGGAATTCCACTCTGTCCTTTGTGTAGGTCTGAGCCTCAGGAAGCCTTTGCAGAGCTTCTCAGACAACCAAGGACTACCTCTGTGGAACAGCCACCGGAAGCCCAGGAAGCTCCCTGTTACAACCACCAGCACCTGCAGGCTGAGAGGCTCCATGCCTGCTGAGCCCTAAAGAAAGAAAGAGACGAGAGTGAGATGGTGGCGAACATTCAGCAATACATCTCCTATTGACAACCCCCCCCCTCCCCCAGCCCAACTCGTAATGATCACCCCCCTACCCCACAGCACTCTTTAACCAAATCTGATGTTTCTTACTCCAGACCAGTTGCGAGCATAAAAGCCCCAGTCATCACCTGAGCTGCCGCAGTACCTCTCTACTGCCAAATCCCCTAGTATACAGAGGCTTTTTTTGCATATGTGCTGACACAGCCGCACAGCCATCCAGAGGTCAGCCGACTCAAACACGTCTCAGATTGCTCCATCTGTGATTAATAGGAGTCACGCGTGGCTTTCGTGCAGTCTGAAATGCATCCGAATCCCAGACATCTCGGCATCCCGTAAGAAACAGCTGATTGGGTGGGTTTGTGCTGCATACACAAACTTCTATCCTGGCTGAGGGAGTGTGTACATGTTACTCCTGCTATACATTTCTGCAGTATGGACACCGATCGAAATGAAACGGCAGGAAATCAATGCTTTTGATCAATGTGGCATTGTCCACTGGGACACGGCCACTCCTCTGCTCTGTCCTCGTACCCTTGAAAAAGGCATCAAGCTTCAATGTTTTTGGTAACTGATAGTAGGAGGAAGTCAAGCCAGCGTGACCTTGTCAGATTTGAAGTCTACTGTTTTTATGACATGTACAGTTACATTTAGAACATGCTTTTATCTGAAGTGACTCACAAAAGAGGAACAAAACCAATTTGTCAAGGAACCAACACTTTTGTAATATACATTGCCAGGTGTATTTCAGAATCAAACTAGTAAAGAGGAGAAATGCAGAGAAAAAAGGAATTTATTTTTAAAAAATGTGAGTGTGCACGCGTAGTAGGAGTAAAACACAAAAAAGGGTCAAATAATCAGAAAATAAGGCAGTAGGACATGCTATCTTTATCATTTTCTTTGTCGGATTCATTGATTAAGCCATTCAGTTTCTTTTGCAATTCATTTTCCCTTGCAACAGCTCAATCTGTCCTGCTTCTTGGTGATTATGAAATGACTGCATGCTTCCTTAAAAAATAATGAAGTCAACATAATGCATGATCAGACTTACCCTTTCCGTTATGAAAGACCCATGTTGAACTGGCCATGAAGAGTGTGCATGAACACAGCTGGATACGAGGATAAACACAGGGTAAGAGATCTGCGAATCTCAGGTGTTCACCAAGGAGAGGATGGCGGAGAGATTGCAAAATGAAAATCCAACAGCCTTCTCCCTCTCCACTCTCCATATTAATTCAGTAAGTGCCTTCTCTTGTACGCAGTTGTCGAGTGTAATTTCATATGTTTGAATCCTACTGAGCTTCATTGCATAGAGGAACCACTAGATGGAGTGAGACATCCAACTGACTATCTTTTTTTTCTTCTCTCCATGGTAGCAAAAGAGCTTCAGGCATTTGTGTTAGACCAGGAGAGGGTGGTTGATACTATCTGAACAAGGACACTATTGGTAAACAAATGTTGTATATTTAGCAAGGTCAGCCCTGTCATCCTCAATTTCCTGAATCCTCAGCCTGAACTTAAGCTCAAACCAGATCTATTACTATTTACCAAACAAAATAAACCCTAGCCTCATTTAAAATCACTCCAACAGTAACACTAGGGGTTTCTTGTATTTAGAGCCATAATGGAGCAGGTTTAGGGCAGAGCGGTTAGTCTTGCCCTGCAGCTTCAGGTAATAACATCCCATCCCCTCTAAAGCACTGTTGTTGTTGTTGAGTCCATCTGGATGTTGTGCCTCAGGGATGGAGCAACAAGGCATTCCTGTTTGATGAACCATTCACCCCAGAAGAGTTCTGCTCATGGAAAATAAAAGGGATGTTGTACTTAAATGTGTATTGTAGAATATTTTTCTCACTTTATCAGCTCTGGGTTACATAACAGGACAATGGAAACTAAAAGCAAAGAAGCTGAGTGAAATTAACCCTCCAGACACAACATTTCTGTTCTGTTGCTGACAAAACATCCCTTTTCATTTCCTGTTGAGTGAAATATTAATGGTTTGTTTCACGTAACCTGCTGATTTACTTAATGACTGCAAACTATAACGAGTTTAAACTAATTAATCCATTTGTGACCATTGGGTTCGTATGTCAGTTGCTCTCCTGTTACTATGAAAGCCCATTTCAGCCACATAAAAAAAAAATCATGCTTCGGTAAATCATAATTATGACATAAAAAGCTGAAATTACAAGATAAAAAGTACCAAATCTGGGGGGGAAAAAATACATTAAAGACTGATGCAAAAAGTCAAACTTACAAGTCATAATTATGACAAAGTCGAAATTATGAGAAAAAAAATCATACTTATGACAAAAAATTGACAAAAAAAAACAATTATGGCAAAAAGTCAAAATTATACCATACTAATCATAATTAAGAGATAAAAAGTCTGAGTCTTAGTTAAGTCATTGTGACAAAGTTACTTGTGTCATTATTTATACTTATGTTGATTTTGACTTTGTATCTCATATTTATGACTTATCCCATAATTTTAGCTTTTTATCACATAATCATGATTTGCCTAAGCATGTTTTTTTTATGTGGCAGAAATGGGCTTCCATACATTACTGATATAAATGCGATACTAACCCATATGCAGATATTAATGGTAAAGTATTACTCGGGTTTAAGTACAGTTATGTAGTGGAAATAGGTCTTGTGCTTTTCCTGTCTTCAACCAAAAGTCTGGGAACAATCACTTACAATTGCAAACACACCTTGTTTTCTGACAGTTTCTTTGTTTGATCGCTATAGTGATGGGCTAAACACGAGTCCACTATATCATTAGTATGCATGTTTTGACTTGTCCTTAATTAATTGTATGTCTAGAGGCATGATGGTACTTTCCATTTTGATTATAAAGGGGGTTTGAAACAGTTTTGTATGTCTGTACTGACACCTCTTTCGTCTTCAGAAGTGAAAGACATTTCAGGTGATGAGAAAAGTAACTATAGTAGGCTATAACATGACGTGGCACTGAATGCTGAACCCAAAATACCAAGGAGGAATTCAAAGGGTGAGAGAAATCTATTTAATATCTGGGATTAATTATTTCTGGCATTGAGTCTTTATTGTTGTTTGCTGTTAATGGACAGCAGTGTCTCAGGATAACAGAGGCTCAGGAAACACATGGTGACAGGAGGCTGAACTCCACATGCAGGATGTCCCACAGAAAAAAAGAAATCATAAAAAAAATCATAAAATCAAGGCCACCACCTTCAGGTATTTTTAGCATGTGTTAAACAGCCTACATATGTTGATAATAAATTCACAAAGAACGATCTTCTATTGCTTTGATCACAGCAGGTGTATTAATAAAAGTGCCATAGCCTACTGAACAGGGTTTCAAATTATTATTATTTTAGAAAAACGTTTCTCTATTTGTTTTATTCAAATTATTCTTTCAGTTACATATCATTAATCTGTAGTAGTTTGTAATTGCTTTAATATTTTACATTTTGAAGGAATGAATAATCACAAGAAGTCGTACTACGACGAGAGCGGTTATGAATGTTAAAGGTCCCATATTGTCAAAACTGAAATTTCCTGGCTTTTTTCATGATAACTGAGGTCTAGGTGCTATGTAACTACCATATAAGTTTCAAAACAGTCAATCCACAGTCAAATGCATAAAGCATGAGCCGTTGTGACTTCTGTAAAAAGGTGACGTCAGAACTACTCAGTCACCACCCCGAACACTGCCCACAGTCCCACTCTCCTTTTGCCAAACCCCCAGACATGTAGTGTAATTTGAACGTGAGCGGGCGGTCTAACAATATCCCGTTCCCGACGTCCTTTCAGAACAACATATCTGTCCTTTATTCTTATTGACCACTGGTACAGCCTGCACTCAGGACTGTTATGCATGAACCGCTTTCTGAGTCACGCATTTTATTTGCGAGGTCTGTGCACAGCATGTGAATAACGATGCTCAGAGCAGGCTGTAGCCTACCGGTGGATAAATACGGTCCTCAGACAGAACATGCAGGTTGTCGATGAGTGACAGCAGAATAAGGATGGAGCAAAATGTGGCTGTGCTGTCCTTGAAGGACGTTCAACTCGGTTTTGTTTATATTTTGCTTAGTCTATCATTTTAAATGACAGATGTCATAGCGTATTTATTTATTTTTCTCTGTGACACTTTTCCTACTGTGTGTACAGCAAAATGTTAAACAAATTTAGTATTTTGACAAGACGAAGAAAAATAGCTAGGCTATTTTTGTACAACCTATATTTAAATTTTTTTCCTCTGTGACACTTTTCCCTATTGTTGTAAATGTTGAACGAATTGTATCCTGACAAGACGAATAAAAATAAGAAATACAATTTTTGAACAACATTTTTATTTTCTCTGTGACACTTTTTTCCCCCTACTGTGTTGGCAGCATTTGCTTTCAATAACTTCAAGACTCTTGACAAGACAAATTATTTAAATACAATTTTGTGCAGACTACACTTTTATTTGTTATCCTATCTCTCCTTCTTTCAGTAGCGGAAATATAAATGTGAGATTCTGGAAACGAGATCTAAATTTAGCGGGAACGGTCGGGTCGGGAAGAAAATTATTCTAAGCGGACAGCAGGCGAACAAAGAGTGAATATATAGCGGGAGTGGGTGGGTGCGGAATAGAACCTTGCGGGAGCGGGACTAAAGCCCCGTTCACACCGATAACGATAACTATAACGATAACGATATTAGCGTCCACACCAGCGAACAATATCGTCTGTTTATTCTAAGTGCACATGCGTCTGCCGCTTTAAAATCTCGAGCTCGTTACAGCAGGATGGATTCTGATTGGCTGTCAATTTTTTATCATTCATCAGCTGGAGAAAAATCGTTTTGAAAGTGATTCCAACGATATCGTTTCTCTTTGTCTTTATCGTTATAGTTGTGGTGTGGACTCTGCTATTCTTTAATATGGAGAATGATTTTTAGAACTATATCTTTATTGTTATCTTTATAGTTATCGTTCTTGGTGTGAACGAGGCTTAAAAAAACAGTCCCGTGCAAACCTCTAGCTGCAGCACCCCCTATTTTTTTCTGTGGGCAACTGTCTACCTGTTGGGAATAAAAACTTTTTTTTTTTAAATCGGAGTGTCTATTTACACTAAAAGTGCAAATAGCCCACCTTGTTGGCAGACGCTATTTACACTAACTCCACCCACCAACGTGTGATTGGGCTAGTCAACATTACAAAAGATGGTCATCGATTCGTCAGATTCAGTGGCGTAGATGGTAAAGTGTGTGCCATGCCCATTTTGACGCGATTGACCCGGGTTCGTATCTGCCTTTTGACAAACTTTTTTTCTCCCTTTTCAAATCACATCACATCAGAAAAGCATTTATTTTTAATAAAAATGAAGGAAATAATCAAAAAGTTTAAAATAAAGTATCGGATAGGGTTAGGGTAGGTATAGAGGGCTTTTGTCCCAATAAGGTGGCATCCATTTAATAATTTGAATTAAAATTAATAATTTTTACTCAATAAGTTATTATTGCATACTTTTTAATAATGTATTACAATGCTGAGGTGCAGATGATTGCCACTATTTGCAATAAATAATTATCAGAATATCCTGCTATTTTAACATAGTATAAATAGCATCTATTGCTATTTGCATTTAGTGTAAATGGCCTCTATCGCCCCGAACCCCCCAACCTAAAACATCTTCCTTTAAAGTCGGCATGAAACGGAAGTTGCGATTGTCTTTTCTTCTCTGCTGTGACGTATATCCGAGTGAAACGGCATCTGAAATGAGAGGGCGGGACTTGATTTCATCCTTCGGGAATTGATTGGATCGTTGGAAGTTGGGGCGTTGCCATCAAAATGGAGGCAGATCTGAATGCCAGTTTGCAGTTAGTTTTGGGGGATTTCTCTCCATTGGATTCACCACCGACACCCTAGCAGAGACTGCCTGAATGACTGAGCGCACTCTCCATCAGGTTAAGTCATATTCATGAAAAAAATTATAATTAGTTTACGATGTTCTATGAGTAATGTTGTCGTAATATCCTAATATCTTTTCAATGTTTAAGGGTAACGTACTCCCTTACGACTGGTGTCAGTGCTATAAAGTGAAGCTTCAGCTTTTCCCCCTGTCCTTTACTCCAAACGTCACTGATATCACATGTTGGCAGTTCCAGATAGCTCCGCCCTTGCGCCATAGCTTGTGATCAAAAGAGTAGAGGAGTCGTTTTGAGGGGGAGGGGAGGTTAACGTTTTTGATTAAAGATTAAGAGGGCAGATTAATTAAAAATAAATAAATAATGAA